TATGATAAACCAAACATGTGATAGATGAATCCTTTTTGCTTGTTGCAACCAAAGGCACAGACAACAATGTAAGACCTTTGAAATATTTAAAAACATCGAAAACAACAAAACGGATACAATACGATAATTAATGTACTATTAATTTGATACTTTCATAAACGTTTATTTAGGCCTAAGTCTTCGTTTCCTAGTACAATAATGTATAGTAATATTAACCATTAAACCAAATACTCTTTTACATACTGACCTCTTCTGGTTTGCATTATCTCTTGGGGGACCCTCTGAAGTCTTGGACGTCTGTGGCAAAACAGATGTGTATTCCGTTCCTTTGTTTGGAGTCACCTACAATGTCGATCCGGGAATAGGCTAGAGCAAAGGCGGATGGTGAACCCTAACTATGCTGCGTATTTAAGTTATAAGTACCTTGTCTTCCCCCATATCCTAATTTAAATATAGATTTTTTTTTAAATATTTATCTGAACAAACGAATAGAGGTGTTTTTTAAGCTGTGTGCTGATATAGAGCCAGCCATCACTGTTAATTATGTTTACTGTGGGCCCTACTTGGCCACTATAGGCTTTTTTTTTCGGATCGCCTTAACGCAGTTACATAAGCCTACATTTTTATGAAGTCCTTATAATCATACTTGCCAGTTATTATCATCATCATCATCTTAATCCTCATCGTCAATCATTCATAACAAAATATTATTAACACTTAGGCCTATGTAAAAGCAATGACGAAGTCTTGATGATCAAGACGAAATATTTGCTGAGTAAAGAAAAGGAATATATATATATACTGTCTCTTATACACATCTAGATGTGTATAAGAGACAGCATATATATATATTATGTATGTATGTATATGTATAATATATAATTATATTGACAAGTGATTCAAGGTCAGGAGGTGAGTGCTCAATACCGAAGTAGAGCTAAACAATATACCGGTATGTATGTGTAATGAATATGGGATTTATTAATTAAAATAACTATAATTTAACTTAAATAACAAACACTAACAAACGTTTTGCAAAACAAGTACGAATAATTTATTTGCTATGAAAAAGAATGAAGTACATATCACGTGATAACACACTGACCCTACACTTGACAGAATCCTGAAAACTCATTTTTTGCAGCTCTCACTATTACGATAATTATTCGTACATTTAAACACACACAGATAGAAATAACCTTCTGAATATTTACAACATCTATTTTCAAAGGGGAATCCCCTAATGTACTTTTCAGCTATTAAAACATGGAGTTTAGTCATTCGAGGTATTCCTCCACGGTTTAAATAACTTTTACAAAAATTGGTGAAAAATCAAAAATAAAACGAAGAAATTTAAAAAGGGACATACAATACAGTAGAGTATTTTATACAGGCCTACAGTACTATAGGCATAATGTTATACTTTATTTTTATTTTGAAATCCCTTTTTGTAATTGAATTATTGTCTGACAAAGCAGGCGTCTCTAAATAACATATTAGAGTTTAACCAGTCTAACTTACAGACACATTTTTGTAATTGTTAAAAATCATGTAGGCACGTTTGTTGAAGATTTACAATATATGCCTATTGTTTAAAATTTCTTTCTGTTTACATTCAACAAAATTTATAGTAGGCCTATTACATAGAAACATCTTTGTTTTTGTGCGCACGTATTAACTGTTAACTTTATAGAATACATATTAGTCAAGGTACATGTCATTATTATTTTTACCCAAATAAAGAAATATTTTTCACTTTCCTTTAAACAGCTTTGCAATACAAATTTAACAAAATTATTGTTTTTCTGATAAAATTGATAAAAACGGACACATTACCTGCTTCTTTCCCCACTTACTGTAAGTCTTATAATTAATTCAGGAGTAAAATTAGATAACGTACAGTTTACGAGATGTATTTATAGAATCTAGTGTAATTGATTTGTCTATGAATCAGTATTAATCAACATGAACAGCTTATGCGTGTATTGAATATCAAGTTATAACGTGAACGCCTTGGAAACGCAAATGCTCGAGTTGCGCTTCCGATTTGAATAAATTCGTCATTAACACCATTAAGTAACACGTTGTTGAACATTAAGCAGTACGCACTCTAACGCGTTTCAGCACGCAGTCGTAGGTTTTCACGCAGTTCCACGACTCCATTACTTATTCATTTCAACACAGTAACGCATGTATATAATTATATCCATTCTTCTTATTGGATCACGCTGTGGATATTGGGTGAACTGCGTAGGTTTGTGGCGCATTTAGCGAAACTTTTAGGAATAATTACTAACTTCGTTGGGTCGGAACTCAGTAATCAAATTTTATATACTTTCTCCAATTATCATAATTCCCGTGTTTACACACCAAAATACAAATATTTCAAAAAAAAAAGTACATCATGTCTTCTCATGAGATTCGGATGAAAATATAATTTGAAAACATATTATGTCGAGTGAATCGACACTAATCACGTTATTCACATAGAATCTAAAACAATACAAATTGCAGCATGGCACGACGAGGAGCTTAATGAGAAATGAAATCAACTAGTGAAAAGTAGGCCTATTGGCAACATACATTATTTATCAATGTATCAGCTTCAAGAATATAACACTGTTATTTTTTTATTTTTGAAATCATAACACAATATAGGCCTAATCATATGTAAGGTACGGTAAAGCTGCATGGTTTTCCCCCGCATTCAATTCCCAAGTTCCTGGTTCAACCTTGATAATATGCTGGGATTTTCTGAAAACCAAAAACAACTAGGCCAGGCTTACTGCACTGTACACTCCCAAGTCTCATTGAGGTACTTTGTTATAGGGCATCGAGGGTCCTCATAACCAGCTTCGCTAAATGGATAACCACATGTAAAAACCTTAAAATAAAACATTATTTCAAGTGTAACGTGATGTAATCTGGTTTCATTTTACTGTTACAAAATTGTACTCTTACCTAATGATACACAGTCAAATATTTTTAAAAAAATAATTCGTTATTTAGGACACAGATAAAAACAATAAACAAGTAATCTTACATAATTGTAATCAAAATCTTAAAAACAAGATGTTTGGCACTTAAAAAAATAACTTTACGCTACTGCAAGTGGATTGTTTGGCACCTTCGGGATCAGTTGCAAAAGTAAATTGTTTTAACCTTCTTTTCGTATAACAATAAATGCAAAATATTGCAACAATTTAAATAAATGTGACCTCTAATAATTATGACTCGTGTTCATTTGACATAAAGATGCAAATACACACATATATATACATATTATATACAGTATACATATAATTTATAACGGTATGTATATATTTATTTATATATGCCTACTGCAATAAATTAGGCCTATATATTAATATATAGGGCTATATTAGGTCTATAAAGGCCTATGTAGACCTATTATATAGGTCTTTATATATGTATATATATACTCATATATATGCAGTATATATATAATATATAATACCGGTATATTATATATAATATTATATATATATATATATATATATATATATATTCCATATGCACATACATAGGCATGTGTTACAGTATAGTATATAATCATAGTTCTCTGCATAGAACGTCCCATTTTTATATAAGTAGATACAGTACAGTATATGATATTGTGTATCTTTCTTGCAAATGTGTGTCAAATTCTGTCACTCTGATATTTACATTTCTGAATTGGTATTCGATTCGATTCGATTTTATTTTATAATACAGTACTTAAAATGTATTCCTTCAATTGGAATATACAATTAATATGTCATTAATTATCACCAGCTTACAGCATGTTGGCGACTGGCCGGGAACACACATAGAGTGCAATTCCATACTCTAAATACTTATCAACAATCGTGGACAAATAATAATGGATATGTCATTGTTTCTCAATAGATACTGACCTAGAATTTTTTTTTTCTTTTGTCAGAGATGCGAATTAAGTTGTTGAATTGAAATTCAGTTATAACACCTACTCATTAAGATATGAACATCAGCAAAATTGGAATGAATGGCTGTGTTGAATGCTAAATTTGAAGAAGGTTATTTGAGTAATCGCTACATCCGATTAAATTAACGACAATTGCATTTTTAAAAACTCCCGCTTTTATGACAATGTTTATTGTGATCAAAGAAACCAATATTCTTCACCACCAATGCCTGTATTATGTTTGCAAGCTTTCTTAATCAAAATTTTTTATTCGTTTGCAATTTCAAAAATATATCTTTCTATTAAATGGTAAAGAAATACGATATTCCAACTGAAAGAATAACTAGATGTAGTTAAATCCTGATCATTGTTTCCACTTAATTCAAACAAGTTGTTGAATAACGTATTAAATATCTATCTGTTGAGCCGATTAATTCATCATCTATTTATCAATTTAGTGAGCAAATGTAATCTGAACATGGCTCTATTCTAGAAGTTATTAAAGGGGAATGAATACATAGTCTGCACAATACTCTAGGCCCGTTAGGAATACAGCCTGCGTTACTAACCATCAGTGGTTACAACAAAATCTCCCGCGGCAGCGATTTCAATAATAATTACTCTACACGCAGAGGACGTGTCAACCGCGGGCAATATCAGCTTTATAGGCTGAAACGTTGTAGTCTCCAGGCGTTTAGAAACTCAATTCATGAAAGTAACCAGCAGTGTCGTACTCAATTCGAAATAATCGAATTCGATGAAAACAGAAGAAATCATCTAAATCGTAGATTGGACTTCAATTATTTAAATTGTTCAACTTGTCTATAATTTCTAAGGCTTCTTGTGTGCAAGTGATCCGTGACTGTTTTGCAAGTGATGGGCTCCGAAATGTCTAAGATTTTCATTTCGCTTGGGACGTATATCAAATCAAAAATCAAACCATCTAACTAAATAATCAGTGTTTGTTCTATTTCATTAAGATGGTGCTTAAATTAATTGGAAACGAGCAACAAAACAAAACTTTTTCAGTAATCATTTTAAATTTTTGTTTAGTGACAACTACAGTAATTGAGCAGAAAAAATATCTTTTAAAACGTTTTGTTTGAAGTGTCATAATTATATTTATGCGCTAATAAACTATTTGTTTTGTCAATTGGCAGTTGATTAAATTACATAACATTTACAATTCATAAATTACAATTAATTCTCGCATTTAAAAGCAAAATAAACCTTCAAAACTATTTCGTTGTAAATAAGTTTGTTTATCAATGTAGTGTATATACATTTATTTTTATAGGCCTATCGTAATCATTTACTGTATTTTTTATAATTATATAAGCATCATTATACAGTATGCCTACTTTCGTATTTGTTATTCTTATACAGTAAAAATGCATCGATGCAAGTGTATGTTTATACAGATATATATCTGTCTATATATATATATATATATATATATATATATATATATAGGGCCTACTGTAAACTGCATACAAACAATTAATTGTTTATATTGCATATGATGAGGAATGAATGTATATAATTGCACTACATTTCTTAGATATGATTCTAATGGTAGGTCTATATGAACTTGTGAAATGTTTTACGAGGTTTTGTGAAGTGTCTTTTTTAAAACTATGATTTATAAATATATGAAAATAATTATACGCATGGTGTTTATAGTTTACAGAACCCTTATGATATAATGATCCGCCACATGGATATGAACATCTAATCAGTTTCACCGGTGACCACAGGAGATAAACCAACACAGTTGATATACAACGTAATTAATGACGTGAAATATATCAAGATTTAAATAAAAAAGAATTGCTTAACAAAAATTTCAGAACTAGCACACAAGTTGAATTAACGGATGGTAAGCGATGGTTTCTTCCTTTTCCTCACCGGGACACCTGCGTACAGTGCTTGTCGGTACGGTGCTCTTTTCATCTTAACTCACCTTGATTTTTTCGCAAAATACAACGTTTATACTGATTTGATAAAGATCGATTTTTGTGGTTCTTTAAAAATGTTCATTTTTTTTTTCTTCAATTCAATTGCGACCTTTTACTAAGTTCATTGAACGGCGGTCGGTGTATCTACCGTATTTGACGATTCTTGTGCCATCAGCTGTGAAATACTTTTAACATTATGCTCCTTCTTCCATTTCATTCTCCTATTTTGGAACCAGATCTTGATCTGCCTTTCCGTTAGGCCCAATGAGTGAGCAATCTCTATCCTCCGCCGACGTGTTAAGTAGCGGTTGAAATGAAATTCTTTCTCTAACTCTAGTGTTTGGTAACGAGTGTAAGCGGTGCGTGAACGTTTAGCAGGCTCTATGCTACTAATACCTGAAAAGAAAGATGAAAATATAAACGCTTATTTATACAAATATATAATATCGATATACTATCATAAGGAATGATAACTATACTTTATAAAACATTCATAAATAAAATAACGTTATGCTTTGAAATTGTATACACAAAAACAAACTTTTGTTTTCGAGTGGCCTAGCCCAATCGTATCATGTATCATCAAGGCCTAGATACAGTATCGCACAAGATGTACAAGAACAAAACGTAAACAAAAACATAGTTTCATTCCTCCCGAGTGCCCTTCAGACGTAAATAAGAACATAATAGCAAAGGCAGACCCGTACTTGGTTTAATTTTAACCGCTGATATAAGTATGGATTAACAATTCTTATTTTTTGGAGAGCAATTTTTAGGATTAAGTTTTTACTTTATACGGATGAGTATTGCTATGGTAATCCTCTCGCAACACAATTATATCCAGGGCGAATTGCTCCAGTGTTGTTCTCCGCAGGTTGACACGATTGCGAAAATCATACTGAGATTAAATCTTAATTATAATCCAGTGTATCTCCAAAAACTCAGAAATTATAAGACATAGGCCTACTAAAGTAACTTGAATATATAAGGAGGAGACGAGTATTTTTGGAGGTTGGATATGGAATTAGATTGATTGTACTTGACTTATACATTCAGTACTCAAGTAGGACGATACAACATTGCAAAATGGCTGTTACATTGATGATTACATGAAAAACATGATTACCACAAAACAAGACAACTGGTGATATTGAAAGACCTATAATGTAGTCCTGGATCTTTACGTACCTAATGCTTTATTTTGTTTCTTATTAAAATGATAAATATTAGTTATTTTACTCCACGAAATACTACAATATTGATCAATCTGAGTGTTGTATTATATATTGTTGATACATCTATACGTTTTTTTTTTTTATAAAAACCAGTAAGATATTTCCCAGACTCTGTGTTTTTTAGCCGATTTCATGCTCTAAATGTTCTTATTTTGGTTCCAAATATAGAAAATTATTGTTTCAGCAATATAATACTGTATTGTATTATAGAGGGTATTACATAGTCACACCTAATGCACAATGGTACAGATGGGATTTGTTGGTTTTCTATTTTTTTAAATTTTTATTTAAAACTTCATTTGAAATTTTATCTTAGCCTCAATTTGTACTTAAATTAAGCAATTTCAGCCTCAGTGTTCTTATAAAATGTGTTCTTCTAAAAAAAAGTGATAGGGCATAAGTAATAAAACTCTGAAATCACAGTATTGTAGTATAACCTACTGTTGATAAAAAAGAAACCAACGTAATTCAATAGCATGTATCCTTATTTGGAGTTGGATCTCCTAAAAATCTTATGAAGTACTAACACAGATTGTAATAACAAACATTAGGCTTATTAAATAAATTATTATTATATTATAGTGATGGCATTTTTTGAATTAACTTTTAGATCATAACTGAAGATTGGAATCACATCGTTATTATGCAATTGAAAAAAAAAGCCTGTTTATGTAATAGCGATACAGGCAGTAAATTATGAAAACGTCGATTATGACACTAGTAATGGTCATACGTACAACATAGATATCCGACCATCGACTACATTACAGATAATGGCTATGGTTTATGCACTTGATAGAATCAAATATATGGTTAATTATTTTACTTAAGTATGTTTAGTTGTATGTTATTGTGTGTTATTGTATGTTGTGGTTTAATAATCACTGAATGATTGGTAAACATTAATTTTTTTTTTTACCGTGTAACCATTTACGCACCTAAAGTACATGGCAAGTAGACAATAACGGCTATTCAGTATTAAATACTCGCTCTAATTTTTCTACTTATAATAATAACACAATACTAATCTTAACTGTAATAATAATAACTATGCAATAATATCATATTAATAAATGATAATGACTATGATTGATAAATTAGTACCGGTAACAATATAATACAGAATAATAATAATAATAAAAATGATAATAATAATAATAATAATAATAATAATAATAATAATAATAATAATTATTATTATTATTATTATTATTATTATTATTATTATTATTATTATTATTATTATTATTATTATTATATGTATATGTTAATAATAAGGTACGTAATAATTATATATTGTAACCTACTAAAGTTCGAGGGTAAATGACTGCGCCTACATTCATATTAAATATAGCTTACATAAACAACAATTTAAGCATTGGGAGGCTAACCACATTTAAAATATTATCATAAGGCAAAAAACGAAAACACTTTATAGAATGTAGGCCTATTATGGTCTTCATACAAAAATAGTTAGGTATACCTACTGTTGACATTCTGTTTGAAAAATTACAAATTAAATCGTTAAAAATGTGTTGTATTTGCGTCATTTAACACAAAATACATAAAACCTATAAATGTTATTGAATAAAAGACATCAATCATGCAAGTGTATTAGGCCAGGTGTAAAAATGGCTACTCAGATGTTAAAACAAATATCATCTGCTTTAAAAAAAAAAAAAAAAAAAAATATTTTGAAAATCTTTAGTTTTCTTGCCTTGTGACCCCTAGATTTGTATTTCGTCAGTTAACTCTTACCATACGTCGTTACTGTGTACATAATAGAGATATTAATTACAGTAGTAAATTTCAGTTACAAGGTTATGACTTAGAAATACTTAATATACATTGGATGATTATAGGCCTACTTTGTGATAACGTTTATTAGCCTATTTGCGGTAATGTAACTGCTTTCAAAGTTAAATAGTTGTTGTATTGTTAAGAGGGTCACTTTGGGTCATTTTACTATAAGCTCAACCATAGGTCATTCGTTTAAAACATAATGTCATGAGTAGTAACATTTTCCGGGTGAAATAAATTAGTTTTATTTTATCATTAGCAGTTGGGCCTGCTAAGAACTTGGGTTTATGTAAGAATTAGCGTTCAAACTGTCACGATATAATTATATTTATATATTAATCATAAGTACATAAATAAAACTGAGCTGTGGGTAATGAGAATGTATCGGCTATGTCGCTGGGAAATAAACAATTAAAAGAATTACTTGGAATTGCCTAAAGTAATAACAATGTAAATACAATTATATATACAGTTTTT